GACGTCTTTGTACACGAGGAGCAACAATATCAATGATTGAAGACGTATACCTCCAAGGTGATTTATAAGAACCCCTCAAGATATGTGAAGGCCAAATAATATCAATATTTGATTGATAATTCCTTTCAACGATAATAGATCGCCCATATATTTTGAAGAAATCACATGAAATATTTAGGCTCAAAGATTGTAAGCCTCCCAAGTCATTAATTGCCTTAAGGAATTCCAACATTTCAAAGGGCCTCTCCAATCAAAAGTTGTTCTTCAAAGAAATAACATCCCAATCAATCCCTTCAAAGATGAACCTTATGTTCTTGTCTTCTCCATTAAATCATGATTTTTACCAACTTCTAGTTCAAAAGCAATTACACAACTAGGGTTAACCTAGAGGTTCTACGACTGAAATTAGGCTTTGAAAGGAACCTCAAGTTCTCGTCATCTCCATCTCACCTTATTAAATCAAGATTTCACCAACTTCTAGTTCTACAAGTAATTGCACCACTAGGCTTAACCTAGAGGCTTCTCCACCTACAATTAGGCCATTTGACGAGTTTAAGATTACATGTTTGAAATTTGATCATATTTCAAGACAAGTTCAACAGCCTGGAGCTTGTTTGGAGATAGTTCAGTTTTCATCTTTTGAAGGAAGTAAAAATGTAAAAGCATTATATTACTTTCTTTATATGTCAATCTACACGGAAATAGAACCGCTTTTTGGTGGAAACAGGATAGGCACCCCATTTCTCCCAAGTTCTATCTTTCCCTTCAAATATTGTGTTCCTTCTAATACTTCGACCAAGATGTCTGCCAATGGTACTGTATCCTTCTTGATATTCTTTGGGACACTGATGATGAAGATATGAACCTTCTTTTTTCTTTTTTCTTTTTCTTTCTCGTGTCCATATAACAAGAAGATTTGAAATTGCTTAAAACAAAGATTCAACCTTTCGTGGGTTTTTCATCGATCTTTAGATAACAACACCATGCAGCTTTTGTGTGGTTTTTCAATCAAAGGAATAGTTAAAGTCGTGGTTTAATGCTTATTATGTATAACAATGCTTCTGAGGATTGGTTGGAGGAGTTGGAAAAGGCAAAACTCAAATGTTATTTCAAAAGGGAGACTAATATCAAGAAGGAATTTGCGTATTAAGGATTGGTTGAAGGAGTAGAAGGAAAAACTCAAATGTCATTTCAAATGGGAGACTAATAGCACGAAGGCATTTGCAAGTTGATATATACTTCATTTATTAGAGACAACGAATTTTGTAGATGATATGAAAACACATAAGTAGAGGAAAGCCGAAACCCCAGCTAAGGAGATTTCAGAGAATTCTTCCAATTGGCACAAAGATAATAAAGATTGCAAGAGTACTAAGGAGTGTAAAATTCACATCATGAGAGTGCTACAAAATGTTCCTGGTCCAAAAAAAATTCAAAATACGTGTCTATGCCATTCAAAAGCTTGTTTCTTTCAACCCAAAGAAACCAAAAAGATTCCCAAAAATCCAACCACGGCATTTAGGAAAAGGATGCCCCACAGCAATATAGATAATAGTAAGGAGATAGTACAAAGGGGGATAGGCAACGCCATCCAAAAGACATTGGCAGAGTAGACCACAAGAGATCAACAAATAAACATAGAGCTAAAAAAAATTGGGATTTAGCCTTTTCCTTGCACATAGATAGGCATAAAGTCAATAAGGGGGGCTCTTTGACACAAGCATGTGAGAGCTCCCCTAAGAAATTTTTACCCTTCTTTTGGAACTCCAAAATTATCATGCTAAATCAATGAGAAAAGGCCCAGCTTGGTGTGGTTCTCAATAAATCGGGGAGTTAGATGAACTTTCAGGTCTGTTGATTTCAATTTTCAAGTCTATGTTATGCAAAGATTTATCCTTCAATTTATATAAAATGATCCTCAAAGAAGAAACTTCCTTAATTACATAAAATGAATTTAAATCTCTCTATCCTGATAACGATTTTAAAATCTTCCTTTTTGAATAAGTACGGATGCAGTGGCAAAAACTGGCATTGGGATTTTAATTTTCCTTGAGAAAGAGCCGGTGTCTAAAACCTTTTAATAATATAGTAATTTCCAACTCTCGGAATAAAACCATTCCAAACATGTATAATTTCCCTAATAAAATCTAAATTTTACAATTTTAGATCCCATTTCAAAACTAATGCAAGAAGCAGCCAAAAATGCATCGATTCTATTTAGCTTTACATTGCAAGGATCAGCTCTGTACCAGGTAAAAATCTTCAGAAAAATACATATGCATGAAACTTAAACTACAAGACAGACTGCAATTATCTTCTTTTGCTTTTTTATATCTGTGTATGTAGAGCGAGAAGCAGAATACCAAGATTGCCATGCTAGACCAACTGACAGTTGCACTCATAAATAAAAGTAACCGTAATACGAAAATAGGCAGTCATTTGTAAATCAAAAAAATAATATCTATCACAGGAGATAGCTGAACTTAAGAATCCGAACTCACAACTGACTAGCAAGCATTTGTATAATTCATTGCATTGCATAAGATTGTAATATGAAAAAGGGGAAAAAGAACTTTCAGCACAATGACATGTCATGATGAACTCTCTAATTCTTTCACATAGCTAAAGCAGTAAAGGCATTGGAAATGTGCTTAGCTGCATAGCTGGACAACATCAGGGTAGTGTCTTCTAGTTAATTCTATAGTTGTCTATTTTGTGCAACCTTATCATCATTGTTGCATTAAAGATCAGAAATCTCGAACAAATTTTGCCTCATCAAAATAGCATGAATATGGTTAATCAAAAGCATTTCTTTACCTACTTCCCTTCTTTGGAACAGATACCCCATCTTTGGCCTTTTCACCTGCCATCCGGGAATGAATAAAAAGGCCCATACTTTTATTAATGTGTCCCCAAAATAATAGAAAAACTATCTATTTATCCACATTGCTGATATAGACAGAATTGTGAATTTAAAAGCTTTGCCAGTAATTAAAAAGTGAGTTGAAAAGACTTGTAGCGGTACTGACCCTCAGATTCACTCTTCAATTTCTCGTTGGGGTTGATAGTTCCTCCACGAACAAAAGTCTTGGACCCAGGTGCATTATCTCCTTGAAATGACTCCACAAATTCCGCATACAATCGAGCAGTTTCATCCTCCTCTCTCTGCAAAATGTAATGAAATGAAATCAAATTAATGTGACTAGTCAATATATCTTAGTGTCTCAGATAGTGGAATTCACCAAGAAAGTTAGACTAAATACCTTCTTCTTTGCCTCTTCCTCCTCTCTGTGCTTTTGGAAAGGAGTCTTTTTCCGAGTGATGGAAAATGAACTCATGTTTGCATCAATTTCTAGACAACATTAATAAACGTCAAATCCAGGCACAATAAAAAAAACCACGTCAAAACTCGAGCCTCAATTCGTAAATGACTGGTGAAAGCTATCTAGATGACTAATAGAGCGGAATTGCTTACTGATAATGCTCAGAACAACCCAACACGCTTGGATTAATGCTGTAGCGACTTACGCACTACCATATAAACAAAGTAGCCACGATTGTTCTTTCACAAACGAAGCACAAATTAAGAAGACCGGAGCCAAATAAATTTAATTCCATTCGAATTCAGCTTTCCTAGAAAGCTCAGTCTAGGTGTCCAGTCAGTTACCATAAACAGGCAACAGCAATGAAAACAAAAACATCAAAAATACGCGACCCAAGATTGATAAACTGAAAACCGAACATAAACCAATACTCTTAACCACAAAGCCAGAGACCGAATCATCCGAGATAGCTAAACATTGATAAGAAAACGAGCTCGCATGGAAGAAAAATAAACACCAAAAAAAAAAAAAAAAAAAAAAAGATGATTCCGCATCGAAGCACAGAGTACAATTGGTCCAAAAGAATGAATAGAGAAAACTTACAACGGAAATGGAAATGGAAACGCGGAAATCAGTGCTAGGGTTCCGGCAAAGTGGAAGGACGAGGTATGGAGGTTTAAAGTGGTTTCCGGTGGGAACGGTGGAGCGATAACAAGACTACGGGCGGAGATTAAAGAAGGAAAAAAAAAAAGAGCAGATTTGAGTTCCAGTGCATAAGAGCAGAAGCAAGAGAAACCCGGGAAAAAATAATAAATCATGTTACCCTTACCGCTTGTTACGAATTGTGGTGTCACGGTACGTCTCTTATTCGTCGGTCACCAGTTTTTTTACCTTTTGTACGGAGCCAGAATTACCTTCCACTACCATTGACCATCCTTGTTTATTTTTTTCGTCTTTTTACAATTTTTTTTTTTTTTTTTTTTTTTTTTTTTTTTTTTTTTTTTTTTTTTTTTTTTTTTTTTTTTTTTTTTTTTTTTTTTTTTTTTTTTTTTTTTTTACTTTCATCCGACGTGGTAAAAAGTATTCATTAATATACTTTTTTTTTTTCATTTTAATGTTAATTTTTTAATTGTTTGGTTTAATAATATAAATTTAATATTTTTTTTATCTCTAGATCGATAATATATGTTTCACAAGATTACATAAGAAATTGCATTCAAATGATAATTTATGAGTTTATGAATTAATTTTAAATTAAGGGTGGTTTATTTTGAATGAATCTAAGACTATTTTATATATATATATATAGATATAGATATATATGTATGGTTATGTCGATACGAACTTACAAGGGATGTTTTGCATTTGACCATCACATCAATATCGACGTCACCCACTAGTTTATGCCTCCATTATTTTCATTAAAAAAATTTGAGAAATAGTTTTTAATAATTTTTTAAATAAAACTGAAACACCAGTTTTAAAAAATTAGATGGTCCAAAAATAATGAAAACAACCCTCAAAATGATAAAATGCAGGTTAACAAGATGCTTAAATCAACACTCTAATGTGCTATTAATGTAATTAACTCCTTAAACTTCATTCAATAATACGTACTTTTCACTAATAGAATTTAGTTTATTAAGTTAAATTAAGATTAAATAACTAGAGTTTGAGTTAGGATCAATCAAGGTTCTGCATTATATCCCAAAACAATGGAGCTCATCAGGCAATGATCTTGTAGACCATAACAGATACTTTCTGTAAAGGATAGGGAAAACACAATCAAATACCCTTTAGACACAGATGCACACAGGGAAGTATGGATTCGTGTATCACAGAAACCCCGGGATCATACGCGGGGCAGATAAGACGAGACAAATTTCTACACTTCATACAAGTGCCTTTTAAACCTGATAGTATGCAGCAGAAGTTTAGAATGTCATTGAGAACAGCTGCAGCAGTTCATAATTGTCTCAATGTGCTAGTTTCTTCAGGTGTTGAAATACCCTTTGTTTAATCCACTGCCGATCGTAAGGCAAAAAGGCCTGTATTGAATGTTCAAATCTGTGGAGGGGTATGGAAATCAGATATCATACTGTAACTTCATAATCAAGGATAGACAGATATGCCTGAACAAAACATTTTGAATTCTTTAACTAACTTCTAAAAATAAAACAAGTTTTTATAAGCTACTTACCTCAAAGTTCTTAACTAAATTCAAAATTAATAAAGTCTATTGCTCCTAACAAGGTGTAACGATCCAAGCCCACCGCTAGCAGATATTGTCCTCTTTAAGCTTTTCCTCAAAGCTTTTAAAACGTGTCTACTATAGAAAGGATCTAGCCATGACTGGACTTTGCAAGGCACAGGTCCAATTATGTAAATAAACCTTTAAGGGAAAGTCCGAGAGGAAAAACCCAAAGAGAACGATATTTGCTAGCGGTGGGCTTAGACTGTTACACAAGGAATATGTAAATAAAACATAACATGACTCCTATTTAAGGCCATCTTAATCAGTATAAGTTCTCTTTGTTCTACCAAATATCATTGGATATTCCTGTTTAAGCGAATTCTATGACAATATAAGAATGGATCCTAGTGATGAACACATGGCATTGGTCCTATTATTCTGCAGACGACCATCAATCGATCGCAATGGTTATTTTTGCTGTTATTACGTTTTAATCAAGTTGAAAGAAAAACAAGCAAAACAACATCAAAGAGAATAAATTTTCTTAAAAAACCTGATTTACGACAGGAAAACCTAAACACCATACGGCTCATACAAAAAAATTAAAAACCATTTTGCAGATAGTAGGCAAAACAGTTGTTCTTCCAACTAGCAGAACTATTTGATATTTATTTCATAAGTGGTGAGTGAAGGGAAAGAGTGAGAAAGAGAAGGAAGCATACACTAGTGCACTCATATCAGTGAGGCCATCAATGAAGTTGTAGAGATCTGCAATATCATAAGTAATATTTCTGATGGCTGGATTTAAGTCCTTAAGCTTCCTTTCATATAGCCCACATATACCTGTACCAGCAGTTCAAAGGTAAAATGGAAAATTCAGTAATTTAAATTTTCAAACTAAATACATTTTTTCTCTACTTCTAATATTATGTCTCTTTTCCATACATCCATCTTTCTAGACTTTCAATACCCACAAGTGTCCGGGCAAGTTAATAACAAATCTTGCTATTCTTGATCTTCTTTGCACATCTCCTTTGCAAAGGTTGTTCAGATGGTGCAACCAATGAGACACGAACTTACCATTAAAATTTAAAGGGCTAAACGGCTAGAACATTTGTTGAATTATAGTTTAAAAACTTTCTAAGAATGCAAAAGATACAATGCTCCTTCCTTGACCATCGGACGGTTACCATAGTGGACTTGTTATAAGCCACCCATGTCTACTTAGTAGATATCAGATCCTGCACCGACTTTTTATAATAACTTGTTTTCTGCTTGCTGTTTTATGATGTGGTCTAAATTATGATTAATTTTCAAATCCTTTAATGATCAATAGTTGGCTTTTCTGGATAAATAATTTGCAGGAAATGGGAGTCAATTAAGAAACAATTAGAAGAATACCCAAGCGAAGTTACACCACTTCAATTGTTAGCAGGCAATATGCCAACAATTAATAAGATAATGAGTTTGAGTTAGAAATAAATGAAAAAAGAAGACACCCCTAGACCTGTAATAATGCTCTAAAGGTGCAGCGTTGAGTTCTATATTATATTGCATCACTCATCAGTAAATATAGGTGGGTGAAATTAATATTAGCTTTGAAGTAAAAATTTAGAACTCCATAATTATGTGAATATGTGGATAGAACTGTGTACGTTCCAAGCATGCATGAAAAAGTCCTAAACTGTCACAAGCCACCAAAGCAAACGAGACGAATTCCTCTTATGTGATAAGTTAAACTAATCCTTCAGATGCTACCGTATGAAACTATTTTGGTTACTTAATTAATAAACCGACATAGCTTTTTAAAACCCTTGATCGTTCATTCCCCCCACCCAACATCTTCTTTACTTTATCAATACTAAGATATTTTGTTAAGTTCGACAGGTGATTAAATTTGCTAGCCCAGCAATGGTAGGTGATAAAATAAATTTTAATATAATGCTAAATCATACCGTCCATAGCTTGACTTATTGAATCAAAATCCATAAAAGTCCTAGTTGCCCTGCTCTGCGATGTTTGCATGAGAAGGATGGTATGCCTGTTAGCCTGAAGGAGAATGAGATAAGGAATATGATTGATTAAAAAACTCAACAAGATATGTGGGTGTAACTCATCAGAAAATCACCTCCTTATATAATATAAAAGTAAAATTAAAAATCAAACTACAACTTAGACAAAGGAAGATGGCCCTTCAGAATAAGTTTTTCAAGATCAAATCATAGCTTCATGCTCATACTATGTAATGAAAATAACCCGTTGCCAAGACAATCGGACAACGGATCAAAACAAGATATTGAAATGTAAGCAAGAATGAAATCTTATTATAAGGAATCAACAACTATCCTCTCTATGTTGATGGGTTCACTGTAATTTAAACTTAAACCAGAACATGGAAAGTGATATTCAGCAAACAATTGTTTCGAATGTTAAAAGGAAGCCTAATGTTTAATCAAAGAGCAAGCTCAACCGTGCAACCATCCTCTACTTCTTGAGCACAACATAACAGCATTTACACTTATCACATGTTAAAGCACTAATCAATAATTCCAACGCACTCTTTCTGTCTAAAGATATCAAGTTCAATTACAAGCTTTACTCGCACAACACTATCAAAACTAATTCCGAGCAAAACTGTACTGGTTCCAGTGTACCTAATTGAAATTACTTTTTTTTAAAGAAAAAATCCCTAACCCTTAAATCTGAGGGTCGAACTAATTTAGCCAGGAGGCAGGGGAAGGGCATAGAAAGACTTACACTTACTATTTGATAAGTTCATTGAGATGATAAACACAGTGAGAGGATGAATACTTCAAACTCGCATACATTAGGACGAGTTTCAGATCGGTAAGGAAACCCTAACAAATTCAAATAAGTGGAGACGGAAAATTCGTCTTGGAAGCGTGAAATTGAGGCTTACTCAATTGAAACGAACGGAATAGTAAAGTAGAAAGAAAAACGTCAAAAAAGCCTATAAATTACCATGAGAAACGGTAGTGAACCTCAACTTCGAGCAAGCTCACAGGGCGTGTTTCAGCGAAACGACGGTCAGTGAGAAAGAGAGGAGAGAGAGAGAGCGCGCGCGCAGGCAATGCCGACCGATAATGAATTGCGAGTAGAACTGACCATATAGCACAGTCATCCATCTATTTATAATTTTTATTTTATTTTATTTTTTCTCAACGCAACCATTTAAGATATTAACTCATCCTCTAATTTCTTACTGCTAATTAGCCCATATAATTGACGGCTAAAATAGAGGATTCTATTAAAAATAAATTAAATTTTGTTGAATTTCACAAAATTTGTGAAAATTAGTGATTTTCTTCGTATTATTATTATTATAAAACAATTATGGTGCGGAGAATTTATTATTAAATTTTTTTTATAGACCTGTAATGTTGAAGTTTTATAGAAGTTAATAGGCGTATTATTCATTGAATTATCTAACTTGAAAATAATAAGAGAAAAGGTAAAAATCAAGATAGGTATGATATCACTCTTAGGAATCACAACTCTCCACAATAGTATGATATTGTCCACTTTGAGCATAAGACGACTCTCCACAATGGCTATAATATTGTCCACTTTGAGCATAAGCTCTCATGGAGAGAGTATTCTTTGATTATAAACTCATGATCGATATGATATTGTCCCATTTGAATCTCTCATGGCTTTGTTTTGGGCTTCCCAAGAGGCTTCATACCATTGAGAGAGCATTGTTTGATCATAAACACATGATCATTCTCTAATTTAACTGACGTGTGACTTTCATCACCCAACAATTACATCTATTGGAGACAGAAATAAAACATTGGGGTGGAAATTTGTCCCTAATAGACTCATTTTAAAACTTTGAGTCCGTTCCAAGGTCCAAAAGAGGTAATAATATCTAGTTACAATATTAGGAGTATAAAATTTGAAAATTATAATAACACCAAATTATAACCTTATTACCTAAACATTGACGTTCTTCCTCATCAAAATTATACACTCTTTCTAGGCCTTCCCGAACTCGCACAGCGTTCCTCTTACTTATCAAATCCGACGCGCCAACGCACTAACCTCGGCCCTCTCCTTTCATGGAGACGAGAGGAATGCTATCGCCATCTTCCTCCACAGTCGTCGAACTTTTTCTACTCACCGTCTGATCGGACGGAACCAAAATGTCCGACTGACTTGCATCAGGAACAAGAAAAACGAACGCCAGAACCACAAATCTCAGCAGACTCCGAAGCAAAACCACCAACCAAAGGTTCCTAAAATCACTCCTCGTGACTCCAAAAGCATGGAGCACCAATCCGCCGCTCCATTTCGAGCACAGCATGCCAAGGCTATCAATACACGCCAATAATGCGAAGAACGTTCCTTCGATCCCTACGGAACAGAGTCGAGTGTTCAGAACCATCATCGGCGTCCATCGGATTCGCGACACGATTCGAGAAACGCACTCTTCCAAAACGACGAATAACTCATCCGGAATTTTTAGGACTAAATTCCACCGGAGGATGAAAACGACATCGAGAAGTCCGGCGACGCCGTAGAAAAGCTGAGCGAAGAAGAGGATTCGTCGGAATTTTACGTCTCTGAGCGTTTTGTGGTAGATTAGTACTCCGATTAGAGACGCCGCTGAGCCGACTGCGTAAATGAGCCCCACCGATTCCTGCGAGTATAAAGCAAGAGATTGTTAAAGAAATCGACATGACGTTTGTACTCAATACGACATGTCGACGACCTGAGAGAAGGCTGGGCCGGCTTTCTTGTCCGTGTACCAATAGAATTGGCCCTCGTGAGTACTTATACTGAGAGAGAGACAGAGGAACATGAAAAGCGCAGGCTTCCACACGTGCGGATATTTGATGGCTTTGCACGTGTCTCTTATGGCCACTCCCACTTGCTTCAAAGACTCTCCCTGCATATATATTATGAATTAAATTTATTTTACATTATTTTAAATTCTTATAAATATTTCAAAATTACATAAAAATACATTATAATTTTTAAATAAAAAATGAGACATAGAATTTCGTTCTAAATTTTAATAAACTCAAATTTGGAAGAAATATAATCTACAACAGTGTACATACATGCTTAAAATCAAAATCTCAATTAGGTCGTTCTAAATAGGCGCGTAAAAAAAACCATCGATATTTTAAAACACTATTGTGAGGAATGTTCATATTCGGGTATTTCAACTCAAATTTCGAAGAAAAAAAGCGAAAACAATGTAGGTACGGACTTAGAATCGAAACTTTTATTTAGAAACCCTAGTTTGGTCATTTGAAACACGCGTGAAAAATTGAGTAACAATCGATACTTTTCAATATTGTTGCGTGAATGTTCAAATTTCATGATTTCAACCCAAAATTCGAAGAAATATAGCCTATAAAAGTGTACATACGTACTTAAAATCAAAATCTTAATTGGGTCGTTTCAAAGGCGCGTGTACAAAAATTCAGTCGTTTTTATTTTAAATATAGTTTTGAAAAACAAGATAACTCTAATATATATATATATATATATATATATATATATATTAAATAAATAAATAAAAAGTTGAGGGTATTTTAGGGAGAGAAAGACCTTGGGCTTCCCATAAGATTGGAGGGTGGAGGAGCGTGGCTCATGTATGAAGAAGCCCAACACGATTATCATGGCTGGGGGAATTGCCAGGATCCCAAGTGCTTCCTGCATATTAGCTTCTTAGTAATTAGTAACTAATTCAAGGACTAAACTGCAAAATAAAAAGTCATAAGGACCAAGGAGAAAACCGTCATTTCACATTTTTATTTTCTTGTATTTTCATATTATTTTTTAGTTTTTACAGACCTGAGCGCCGAGGAGATGAACAAAAACGCCACTGGTGGAATACCCAATCAAATGGCCAATGGAAGAGCAAGCCCCACAGAGGCTCTGCAAATCCTGCGCCAACCACCGCACTTCAATGCTACTCCGCACAATGCAAGCATCGATCGTCACATCCGCAATCGCCATCGCCGCCGAAATCCCAATCAAAAGCCCTAGAGCTCCCAAAATCCCCAATCCTTCCTTCATCGCCACCGCCACCGCCGACGCCGTCCCAACCACCCCCGCAATCACGAAATACGGCCTCCGTAGGTACCCTCTCACCGGAAACGCGTCCGTCAATAGCCCCCAAATCGGCTTCATAACCCATGGAATCGTGTAAATCCCGATGTAGATCTGAACCACCGACGGTTGTAGCTTCTGCACGTCTTTCCAATAGTAATCGGAGACGACTTTGAAATAGGAGCCGGAGAAGCCGTGGCTTAAGCCGTAGACGAGCACCACGCCGGCGATGAAACTCGGGTTTAGCTCCGATGAGAGCATTTTAAACCACCGGAATGGCTGTGCCATGATTGAGAGAAGTTTGTTGCTGTCGGATGGATCGGAATTTGGTCGTTTCGCCATTTTTGGAGCTTCGTAGAGATCCATCGCCCATTGACGAAGTTAAGAAGAGAAGACGACTCCTCTGGTTAATTCAGGTTAATTTAATTAATTAATTAATTAATTTAAATAATGGATTTGCTCAACTCCTCCGGCTACTTGCTTTATATAAAATTCCCGACAGTTTTAGTTGTCTGTATTCCAAGAAATCGAGTCAAATTCAAACAAATTAAAGTTCATTGAATTACTTTTATTTAATCATTTAAAATTAAAATGGATTAATTAATTGAAAGTAAATCATTACCGGACCATCCTTTGACTCTTCTGGAGCCATCGAACAAAGTGCACCCACAGAACTTGTCTTAAGACTTATGGAGTACTCAAACAAAGTGTACCCATAAAACCTGTCTTGAGACTTATGAAACCCTCGAACAAAGTGCCATCGATCAAAGTGCACCCATAGAATCTGTCTTGAGGCTTATAGAGCCCTTCAACAAAGTGCACCCATAGAGCCTATCTTGAAGCTTATGAAACCCTATATAGTACACGATTTTGTTTGACACTTCATCACTTTTGACTACACCTAAAACTTTTTTTTGTTGGTTAAAAGGATTCTATTGATATGGATTTGACTAAACTTTTAACTGCTTTGTTCCACGTTTGAGGATTTTATTGATATGGTTAAGTCAAGAAAATGACTCTGATATCATGTTTGAAATTACATATCTCCGCATGATTTGATAAATCCATGATCATTCTTTAAATTCTTTAAATTGATTAGTCAACGTGAAATTGTCGGGATTTGAAAAATTAATGAATATATTAATAAAATGTTTGAACAATCCGAATGGATTGTTGAGCTACATCCAAATCTAATTCAAATCACTGACGAAAGAAACCCCAAATTCCGTGCCAATCCTCAGAGGAAACCAACTCCAAGACCCAAGATTCCGACGGCCGCCGCTAAAAACCCAACATTAAAACTCGCCGCACCACTCGACGGAGCAACCGCGGGACCCTCAATCTCGGTCGGAGAAGGCGCCGGGGAGAAGCTGACGAATCTCCGGCGAGGAGTCACAACGACGACGACCAGCTTCTGACCCTGTTCGCAGTGACCCTTTGCGCCACTGATGAAGTAGAATGGGCCTGGTTTGTGTAGCTCGACCTTGGTGTTCCCATCCTCGAACCTCTGTTCTGGGTTTTGGGTGTTGCAGGCTTCGTAATCTTCCTTTCCCACTTTCAGTACCGAATCTTTTCCTTCTTCGTAGCTCCACGCTAATAAAACAAAAAGAAAACATGTCAATCGTGTTGGATGATGAAACAAAAAGAAAACATGTCACGTGTTGGATGATGAAATCCCACGTCGGCTAATTTAGAGAATGATCATAGGTTCATAAACAAAAAATAATCTGTCCATTGATGTAAGACCTATTGAGGAAGCCTAAGAATTTGTGCTCAAAGTTGACAATATCATACCATTGTGTAGAGTCGTGTTTGTCTAACTAATCGAATAAGGTCATAAAAAAAAACAGGGCTGAGGAAGTTACCGAGAGTGTCGCCGACGCGAAAGCGGGAGGTTTCGGCCCATTGATTGAGCGACTGAGATTGGGAAGATGGGAGTTTCCAGGCATTGGGTTTGCCTCCGACCAGAATCTCTGTAGCTTCTGAGAAGCTGAAGAGGAGGAAGGTGAGAAGAAACAGAGCTCTTGAAGAACC